GCAGCCACCGATACCGCATGCAATTTACGAGAGCTCCTGGACAAAAAGGCCAGTGCAGCCAGAACCATCTATGGGTCCAGAGGACATGCTCCGACGCGGGATTATGGTCACCACAATGATCATACTGATCGAATACCAGTCCGGAATCAACACTGGGAACAACAGCAGCCGGCAACATGTCGAGACACGGCTAGACACAGAGGGGCTGCGCACCCCCTGTGCTTCACGGACGAGGTGCTGGATCATGAATTCCACAAGGATTCAAACCCGTGAATATAGAGTCATACGACGGAACAACGGACCCTGGGGTCTGGATTAAAGATTTTATCCTTCACATACACATGGCTCGTCGGGATGACCTCCACGCCATCAAATACCTCCCCCTCAAGTTAAAAGGACCAGCTCGTCATTGGCTGAAAAGGCTCCCCGAAAACTCGATTGGAAGTTGGGAGGAACTTGAGGATGCTTTCAGGGCCAACTTTCAAGGGACCTATGTCCGGCCTCCAGATGCTGACGATTTAAGTCACATAATACAGCAGCCTGGAGAGTCAGCCCGCAAACTTTGGAACAGATTCCTCACTATGAAGAATCAAATCATCGACTGTCCGGATGCCGAAGCCTTAGCGGCCTTCAAACACAGTATCCGAGATGAATGGCTCGCCAGACACCTCGTCCAAGAAAAGCCGAGAACGATGGCAGCCTTAACAAGCCTCATGACCCGATTTTGTGCGGGCGAGGACAACTGGTTGGCCCATAGAGGCACCAGCGACCCAGGCACATCCGAAATCCGAGATGGCAATGGGAAGCCACGGCACACTAAGCACAAACATCGAAATAACAGTAGTCCGGAAAACACAGCGGTCAACGCCGGATTCAAGAGCTCTTGACCTGGTCAAGGAAAGAAGCCATTTAAAGGCAGTAAAGAGGAACCATACGGTTTGAACAAAGTCCTGGACAGATTGTGCCAAATCCATGGCACTTCTAACAAACCTGCAAATCATACCCACAGAGAATGTTGGGTTTTCAAGCAGGCCAACAAGTTAAACGCCGAACACAAGGGAAGGGAAACATCAAGCGAAGACGAGGACGAGCCTCGCCAGCCGAACACCAGGGGAGAGAAACAATTCCCACCGGACGTTAAAACGGTAAACATGGTACACGCAACTCACGCAGAGTTCGTATCCCCCCAATTCAATCCCTGGGCAACTTGCCCGATCACTTTTGACCACAGGGACTACCCAGCCAGTATCCGGCACGGAGGATCGGCTGCCTTGGTGCTTGACCCAATAATTGATGGATACCATCTTACTCGCGTCCTAACGGGCGGCGGCAGTTGTCTTAATCTGATATATCAAGACACCATTCACAAGATGGGGGTAGACCCATCCAGAATAAGTCAAAATAACGCCACCTTCAGTGGAGTAGTTCCTGGCGTAGTAGCCCACTGCTGGGGCTCCCTCGTATTAGAAGTAACATTCGGTTCTCCTGACAACTTCAGAAGCGAGAACCTACTCTTCAACATCGCCCCCTTCAGCAGCGATTATCATGCATTGCTTGGAAGAACGGCCTTCGCTTGCTTTAACGCAATACCGAACTACGCCTGCCTTAAACTCAAGATGCCTGGTCCACGCGGCGTCATCACAGTTAGCGGAAACACATAGCAGTATGCGGCAGTTACAGCTGCCGGACTCTAGGCGGCCTCTCCCACCGGAACGCATGACCGGTCGTCAAAACCACGGACACGGTTAGACGAGTCCAGTACACCATTTTTCACAATAGCTCGGATAAACCTGAGCCAGGGGCTGTACATGTGCCCCCATAAATAATACGAGGGGCTGCAAACATGTAACACAAGCCCACAATTCATTTTGCCTCATTAATAGGACGGATCTCGAACATTTCTCGAGCGTAACTAACTTTTCACACGTTTTCTTTTTCTTTCGTTCTTACAGACACTACCAATGCGACACCCTTCCAGGATACGGCACAACGGAGACACAGGCGCAGACGTGCAGCAGGGCCCCGCCCACATGTTTCTCTTTAGATTAAGCCCCTGCGTAAACCTTCTTTACTGTCTCTTGTTGCTCAACATCCCATGGGTATTTCATAAACCTATAAGGGACACTGGCATTTTAGGCTTTTTGCTACGACAGATCAATGCGCGTACCTGGAATCACAGGGTCAAGGGCATTATTCAGCCCAATATATGTTATAAAGTCCGAATACCTTCAGGAGTGTTCGGCGTCACGAGTTTGGCCTTATATGCATCAGCTCCGAATCATGTCTTTGGTCAAATGTTGGGTTAGCCCGGCTCCTGGGTTTGCTGCCTTACGTTCTGTTCTATCGGCTAAGGCGACCAAAGGAGAACTACTGTGATTGTGCCCTGGTTATTCCGGATGAGCACCTCAGTAGAGAAAGCCGAAAACTAACTGTCGTGATACAACGAGAGACTGGTCAACCACTCGAGGACCCATCGGAATCTATAGGATTCCTCTGCATTAACGAAGGACCGGTCTACCGGTCAAGTACGCGCACCGTATTTGGACGCTCGCGGAAGTACTAGCGGCTACATAGTAGCCCCACCTTTCAAACTCCTACGGCTAAGTGAAAACTGTTACAGCTATATAGTCCGGTTGCCTGGTTCGACGTGTGATCACCTCCTTAATGGACCAAGACGTTGGGTCAAGTGTGTTCACACATATTTTCTCGAACACCCCCGCATTCTGTGTGTGTGGGTTGAAGCCAACGACTGCTAACTTTCACGTTATATGCATACATAAACAACCGCACATGAGACATTATAATACTCTCAAGCAAAAGTATAATAAAAGCAGCCTCTATAATCAAACATATAATTGTTTACAATTAACAGAATTGTCACTCAAACATGACATTCTTGGAGCACTGGGCCTCTATTCTACGGGCACCTTCTATGACCTGCTCAAAATAGCGCTCGACTGGGTCTTGGCTTCCTGCCGGACCCTGGGTTGCAATGCGGGTGGCCTCCATATCCGCCCAATATGTTTTCACACGGGCAAAAGCCATCCGCGCACCCTCTATGCATGCCGATCTCTTCATGGCATCGATCTGCGCTTTGGCGCCAAATAATCGTTGCACCAAACCAAAGTAACTGCCCGGCTTCGGCTCCTTCGGCCACAGATGGTCTATTACAGACCTCATTGCAAGGCCGGACAGCCTATGGAGCTCAGCTATGGCAACCATCTTCTCACTCAAGGGTAAGGAGCGCGCTGGAGCACTAAATTGCGACCAGAACAGCCTCTCCATCTTGTTATCGTCATGGTCAGTGAATAACTTCGTCGCATCAGCCGCACTTTTCGCCAAGTCCGCATACTCATCTGCGGCGCTCCATAGCTTATCCAACGGAGCATACTTTGGATCTAAAAACTTCATCCGTAATAAATAAGGATTTCCGGCCGCGATTTCTGCGGCTTGTCAAAGTTCCTCCCGTGCGTCTCTAATCTGAGAGCGCATCTCCTTAGCCGAATCCAACGCCTTCTTCAGGTCGGCCGCCTTTGTATGATTCTCCTTTTCAAGAAGCTCATACCGGCCGGTGGCGTCCCTCAGCTCCACAGCCATTTCGGCTATCTTCTGCTCGCTTCGGAGACGAGCGGTCTGTTCGGCTTTCAATTCTTCAGTTGCCTTTAGAGGAGCCGCACTGCTAATCCGGGCTTGTTCCTTGGCTAGGACAAGCTCCGCCCTCAAGGCCTCAACGGCAGCAGCTCCGCCTGCAACTACATCACATCACATTAATATTACAACCTTCTTGCAATTTCCCAAAATAGATGTGGATATAGGAAAGCATACTCTGTGACTCCTTGAACCGCTTGTTCACAAGCGTGACGTCGGCCTCCACCATGTCAATCTGCCGCCTCAATTCGGCACATTCGGCGGCCTGGTCTATTGCCGAACCCTTAGCAACCTGCACATTAATACAAGTGTGATCATTATCTGGGAGTGTGATCCTCCGTTTGCCGCCATGGTCTGGCATCCACGGTCTCAGGGGCTACTATCTATACATAGCGCATGTATCGCGTGCGGTACAACTAAAAACTGCATATTTTTGCAGCTTACCTCAAAGCCTTTGAGCAGGCTCCTGAAAGCTTCGTTCAAACCACTTGTGGTGAAGGAGATTTTCTCCAGCACCGTACCCATTAATGTACGGTGATCCTCCAAGAGAGCAGCTGACTCCAGGAGGCCCGTCAGCGTGTTCGGCCGGACACTGGACTCTCCCGGACCCTTTCCATTGTCCGCCACGGGAGCCGAACGCGCCGGGCTCGGGGCGGCCGAAGTATTAGCTTCCGACCCCATTGGATCTAGACTCCTCCGTGACGATACCTCATGGTCGCCCGCTTCACGGGGCGGAGAGGCAGGTGGGGTTTCGCTCTCCATCATCTCCGGAAGAAGATCCCCCGAGGACGAGCCCTGCTGAGATGAACTGCTGACCGGACTACAAAAAGCAGGTCATGGTTACTACTCTCAAGAGGAAAAAGCAATAAGTTCCTTGTTTAATTAAACTTACAGCTCGATGGAGGGATGGCCCGTTTGCGGGCACTGTGCGGTGAGGATGCCCTTCGGGGCAGGGCCCTTTGGTGAAATTCTCTTCCCTTGCTTAGGCGCCCCCGTCTCCAAATCTTCGGAGGCGGCCCTCTTCTTCTCGTGGGGGGAGGAAACCTCAGGTTTGCCTCCCCGATTCCCCTCCTTCGTGGAGACGTTAATTCCCCCGGTTCGGATGCGCAATGTGTGAGGCCCACTCTTGGCCTCCCCACTCTTCCCTTCAGCTTTCTCTGGTGGCACTTGACGTAGTGTCCGTTCAAGAATCCTGGCCATTGCCGGGCCGGGCGAGCCTTGGGAAGCGGGGCCGGACACCTGATCCTCTTCGCCTTACTAAGCCAATCCTGGTTGTGGACAGTATTCAGAACAATGCTATGATAAATATGAGCAAGGTGTTCGGTTGTAGGGTTACTTACTTGGGTATCTAGGCGATTGCAGCTCAGGCCCGCATCCTCGGTGGTGTCCGGACACTTTATTCATGGTCCGAAGAACAACTTATACATCCCTTCAGGTGTTATGCCGAAGAAATGTTGAATAGTTCACGGACCTTCTGGATTGAATTCCCACATCGGAGAGGCTGACATTTGCACGGCAGGATCCGCCGAACTAGCATTACCTGGATTATTTTGACAAGACTAATGTCCCTCTCGAGGAGCTCCTGAATGCGGCTCTGTAGCATTGGTACATCATTCGCAAGCCCCCAGTTTAGTCCCACATTGGCCCACGATGCCAGTTGAGGTGGAGGTCCCGAGCGGAAGGCGGGCGCGGCCGCCCACTTTGAGCCTCGAGGAGCTGTGACATAGAACCACCTCCGTTGCCATAAATCGGATGCCTCCGGGAAGGAGCCTTCAGGCCACGTGGCTTCGACGTTCCTACTTATTATGGCGCCTCTGCACTCTGCGTGTCGCCCCTCAATCATCTTCGGCTTCACATTGAAAGTCTTGAGCCATAAGCCAAAGTGGGGGGTGATGTGGAGGAAGGCTTCACACACGACGATAAACGGCGAGATGTGGAGGATGGAATCCGGAGCTAGATCGTGGAAATCTAGCCCGTAGTAGAACATGAGCCCCCTCACGAAGGGATCAAGAGTAAGACCCAAGCCCCGGAGGAAGTGGGAGACAAATACGACGCTCTCGTTGGTCTCGGGAGTGAGGATAACCTGTTCGGGAGCAGGAAGCCTATGCTTGACATCGGCGATCAAATACCCAACCTCCCTGAGCTTCGCAATATCCTCCTTCGGGACAGAGGAAGCCATCCATCGGCCTTGATGGTCAGATCCGGACATGATCAAAGATCCGGGGTGCTTAAGCTCGAGCTTTGGGTGTTGTAACTCAGGGTGCGAGATGCGCGAGCATGGAGATAGAGGGATAGGCCTCGACTCCTTTATAAAGGGGAAAGAATATCAAACGTCCCCAAACGTGGTTGTTTAGGACTTGCCTAACAACACGGGGTCATGCCAACAGGCACGGTTGGATTACCCATACCCGTATTGATGAGAATCCGGTAGTAAGGGGGACACGATCTCTGCTCTGACAAGACGTGCCAAGGAAACCGCCTCGTGGTGTGTGCAGTAGCAAGTTATAAAAACGGTTCGACTAAAAACCGGACCATGGCGTGATGTCACTTTTCGAAGAATTGTCAGCAGATTAGATTCGTGGATTATTATTATTCTCTCTACGGTGGTATATGGAATTTGTCTTGCAGAGCCGGACACGGTCCTTGTGTTCGGAATTTATTTTGGAGTATTCGAAGATGGAACCCGCCTAGCAATGCCGAAGACAATCTACGCGCCGGACTCATCGTCATTGAAGCCTGGTTCAGGGGCTACTGAGGGAGTCCTGGATAAGGGGGTATCCGGACAGCCGGACTATGTACTTTGGCCGGACTGCTGGACTATGAAGATACAAGATAGAAGACTTTGTCCCGTGTCCGGATGGGACTCTCCTTGGCGTGGAAGGAAAGCTTGGCGATTCGGATGTAGATCTCCTCCTATGTAAACCGACTCTATGTAGCCGTAGCCCCCTCCGGTGTCTATATAAACCGGAGGGTTTAGTCCGTAGGACACAACAACAATCATACCATAGGCTAGCTTCTAGGGTTTAGCCTCTCTGATCTCGTGGTAGATCAACTCTTGTAATACTCATATCATCAAGATCAATCAAGCAGGAAGTAGGGTATTACCTCCATCGAGAGGGCCCGAACCTGGGTAAACATCGTGTCCCCAGCCTCCTGTTACCATTAGCCTTAGACGCACAGTTCGGGACCCCCTACCCGAGATCCGCCGGTTTTGACACCGACAGCCACCATGTAGCCTCGTGCCCTACCCCATCCCGGATTCCTCCCTCCCCTCCCTCTTTGTCTCTCGTGCATGCTCATGCATGGGATGGCTGCTCGGCTGCTCCCCGCAGGCTGCCACCATCCTCCTTAGCATCGGGTCGTCAGCACCTTCGCTAGGTATCAAGAGTTCCAAGATCCCGGTCTGATCCGACGTTGTCCGGTTAAGAGTCGTGGTCGCCTTTGCCTCCAGCACGTCGGGCATCTCTTTGGCCTTGGCCATGCAGATTGTGTAGACCGCCGTCGATGGTGGCCTCTCTATCACTATGGCGCATTGATTCCCCATGTATCTGCCGCATCTGAGGACCTCCTCTGGCAAGGACACAGGAGTCGAACTCATTGTTGAGGACACACGGCCGCTGCCATGAGGTGAGAGTCGCCTTATCCGGTAAGGAGGTGGGCAACTGTAATGCCCCGGATCCGATGCGCCAGGTGTCTTCCAGCTACTCGTCGTTGTTGTCATGTCATTTGCTTACGTGTTGCATTTTTTCATGTCATTGTCTGCATTTCATCTGCATGTTTTTCAAAACTTGCATCCGTTCAGGTTTCCTCGGTTCTCTCTGTTGTCCGTTCTGAGCCCAACCACACTCGCATGCACCCGTCGCCCCACTCAGTCCTTGTTTCGTGAGCGGGATAAAAACGTTCTCGGAATGGACCGAGATTTTCCGAGTGGCCTTGGTATATCACCGGTAGACCGCCCGTCAAATTTCGTTCCAGTTGGAGGTTGTTTGATGCGCCAACAGTTAACCACGTTGCCCGAAACCCCTCTCTCTTTGCAGCCCATCCCCTCTTCACCACAGCCCATGAGCCCATCCAAACCCCCCTCCATGCTCTCGGTCGTTTGATCAAGATCGTGTGAGCGAAAACTGCTCCTCATTTGGAGTCTCCTAGCTCCCTCTACCTATAAATAGGTGCCTCCCCCCGAAATTTCGCAGTCAAACCCTAGCCCCCTTCCTCTCACGCCGCCGAACGTTTCCCCCGCCACCGACGGACATGTCCGCCGCCACCCTCCGGCCAACCGGCGCCCGCCACCTGTCGCCGCCGCCTCCCACCACCGTGCGGCCCGCGGGGCCCAAATCCGGCCCGCATGAGCCCGCGCGCCGCCGCTGCTCGCCCGTCAAGGCCCGAAGCCGCGCCGCCGCCTCCGCGCCCGGCTCCTCGCTGGCGTCTCCCCGCCGTCGTTCGCCGTCGACCTGTGCGCCGCCCCTGCTCCTCCCGCCGGGGACTGGAGCAGCTGCGCCCTCCGCCCGTGGCCGCACGCCTCCGCCAGCGCCCTGCCTCCCGGCCCATTCGCTGACCCCGCCGCCGAGCGCCTCTGCCCTGCGCCGCCTCCCCGCCACCGGGACCTCCATGGCCGGCGCCGCCACGGAGTTCACCGGAGCTCAGCACCGTGGGATCCGCCCGTGCCCCGCCGGCGCCGCCATGGAGTTCACCGGAGCTCAGCACCGTGCGATCCGCCCGTGCCCCGCCGCCTCCGCCCGCCGGCGCCCCGCCACCTTGGCCGGACCCTGCACCGCGCCATCCCCATCGACCCGCGCCTTCCCCGCCGCGCCATCGCCGGAGCCCCTCGCCGGAAGCTCGCCGGGGCCATCGTCCTCGCCAGATCTGGTCAGGTGGACCAGATCCACCAGTTCAACCATCCAAACGGCCGCCCCGTCCCCGGATCTCCTCGTCCTGCATCGCCCCGTCCACTTTGTCCCCGGGGTGAGAATTCCACTAAGTCCCAGTTTTTGCATATTAGGTGTGCATGTTCTTCACATCATAACTTTATGTGTGCTGCTCCGATTTGTGCGTGTAATATATCAAAATGTTCATTGTGAGATGATCTACATTCCGTTCCATTGTGCCATGCTTGTTTTAATCCATCTTGATGCCCTAATCATCGTTGCAGGAGTGCTATATGATGTTAACTGCTGTTTGTTAACAGAACTTGATGATTTGTCATTTTTGTTGCGTTTTGTGTGTGCATCTTATGAGCTTGATGTCTACATGAGTTTTGCGATATTTCATGACATATTTACAGGGGTTCAATCCATGTTTTTTGTGAGTCTTTTAGTGAGTGCATCAAGCTCATGAAGTAGGGTACTTGTTGTTACTGTTTTGCTAGGCTGAATCTGTTATTCCGTTATGCTATGTAAACCTGCCGCTACAAGTCATTCTATGCATAATCTGGAGATGTTCACTAAGGATGTTTTGTTATACATGTCATGCTCTATCCATCCATGCTCCTGGTTGATTTTATAGCCTGCTGTAGCTTGTCGTAATCTTGCTATAAATTTGCTAAATAATGTTGCTGTCAGCCTGTTAACATGAAGTTCAGTTTTGCCATGTGTTTTGCTAGTGATCCATGCACCCTATGACTATGATATTGTCATGTTTATCTCCATAAATGTGTATTCTTACTGTTGGTAACCTTGTCATGCCATGTATTGCTCTGTGGTGAGTGGTACAAGCTCACCAACATGCCTACTTATCATTGTTCCTGCCATGTACTGTTATTCTGAATCTGTCATATCATTTGCCATGTTTGCACGGATGCTACCATGTTTTCTGTTTGTCTTTGGAATTATTTCAGTAAGGGAGCTTTGTTATTTGTCTTTATTACTAGCATGCCATTCCTTTGTTTGCCATGATATCTTGCTGTAACATGTTGTTTGATAGCTCTAAACATTGCAACCTGATGTTATTTCTGCTAAGGCTGTGAAACTGTTATTATTTTTAATCTTGGCATGTCCTTTTGAGCATGTTCTAGTGATTTCTGGAGATAGCTCAATGTTCATGTTTTGTTATGCTTTACCTTTACATCATGTCCATGCCTTTTGTTTTTCATGTTGAGGTGTTGTAGCATATTGTTTTGATGCTTGCTAGATGCCTAGTTGCTGTTTTGGACAGATTGTTGTTATATCTTGTTTGGAGTGTATGTGTTGCACCGTTGCTCCGTTTTGAGTGTGCTTTATATGAAACTTGCTTCATTTTGCATGTAGATTCATATTATCATGTTGCATCCTTGTTTTGAGGGGTTTGCTTGATGTTTGGATGCATTTTGCATCAATGCCATGTTTAACATGTTTTGCTCATATCTTCTAGGCCGTAGCTCTGAACTAAATGAACTTTATATGTAACTTGACTAGAGTTTCATGTAGATCATCTTGATGCGTCTTAACTTGTTTTTTAACAACTTGAACATAAGGTTTATTCAGATCTGGACCAATTTCGAAATTTGCATACGAGGACTTACCAGAATTGTTACATGTTGTTTCCGGCCTCATTTAAACTTGCTTTGATGTGTTGCTCTTGTATGCATCATCTCTTGCCATGAGGAGCCTCATCTAGCCTTTGTCATGCATCATACTTGGTTGAGCATCATGCCATGGTTATGTGTTGTGTGTTTACCGTGGTGTTTGCTTCTTTCCGGTTGTGCTTCTTCTCGATAGTTCCTCTTTCATTGCGATCGTGAGGATTCGTTCGTCTACGCTTGGTTCGTCTTCGCCCGTTCATCTTCTTCATGAACTCGTTCTTCTTCCTTGCGGGATTTCAGGCAAGATGACCGCTACCCTGGATCTCACTACTATCATTGCTATGCTAGTTGCTTCATTCTATCGCTATGCTGCGCTACCTATCATTTACTCTTCAAGCCTCCCAAATTGCCATGTCAGCCTCTAACCTTTTGCACCCTTCCTAGAAAACCGTTGCTTGGCTATGTTACTGGTTTGCTCAGCCCCTCTTATAGCGTTGGTAGTTGCAGGTGAAGTTGAAGATTGCTCCATGGTGGACAGGATTATGTTGGGATATCACAATATCTCTTATTTAATTAATGCATCTATATACTTGGTAAAGGGTGGAAGGCTCGGCCTTATGCCTGGTGTTTTGTTCCACTCTTACCGCCCTAGTTTCCGTCATACCGGTGTTATGCTCCTTGATTTTGCGTTCCTTACGCGGTTGGGTGATTTATGGGACCCCCTTGACAGTTCGCTTTGAATAAAACTCCTCCAGCAAGGCCCAACCTTGGTTTTAACATTTGCCACCTAAGCCTCTTTCCCTTGAGTTCTGCAGACTCAAGGGTCATCTTTATTTACCCCCCCCCCGGGCCAGTGCTCCTCTCAGTGTTGGTTCAAACTAGAGCCACTTGCAGCGCCACCTCGGGGAAACTTGAGGTCTGGTTTTAGTTGTACGTAGTGTTCATCCGTTGTGCCCTGAGAATGAGATATGTGCAGCTCCTATCGGGATTTGTCGGCACATCCGGGGGGTCTTGCTGGTTTTGTTTTACTAATGTCGAATTGTCTTGTAACCAGGATTCCGAGTCTGATCGGGTCTTCCTGGGAGAAGAAATATCCTTCATTGACCGTGAGAGCTTGTGATGGGCTAAGTTGGGACACCCTTGCAGGGTTTAAACTTTCGAAAGCCGTGCCCGCGGTTATGGGGCAGATGGGAATTTGTTAATATCCGGTTGTAGAGAACTTGACACCGGATCCGAATTAAAACGCATCAACCGCATGTGTAGCCGTGATGGTCTCTTTTCGGCGGAGTCCGGGAAGTGAACACGGTTTTGGGTTATGTTTGACGTAAGTAGGAGTTCAGGATCACCTCTTGATCATTGCTAGCTTCACGACCGTTCCGTTGCTTCTCTTCTCGCTCTTATTTGCGTATGTTAGCCACCACATCATGCTTAGTCGCTGCTGCAACCTCACCACTTATCCATTCCTTTACCCTTTAAGCTTTGATAATCTTGATACCCATGGTAATGAGATTGCTAAGTCCTCGTGGCTCACAGATTACTACAACAACAGTCGCAGGTGCAGGTTATGCGATGATCATGACGCGAGAGTGATGTTTGCTTGTTTTGGAGTTCTTCTTCTGCTTCTTCTTCGATCAGGGGATAGGTTCCAGGTCGGCAGCCTGGGCTAGCAGGGTGGATGTCGTTTGAGTTTCTGTTTGTGTTTCATCCCTAGTCGGATGTTGATCTCTTGTATGATGTTGATGCATTCTTGGGGCGTTTGTGCCTTATGTATGTATCCCCAACTATTATGTAATCGTTTGATGTAATGATATCCACCTTGCAAAAGCGTCTTCAAGATGCGCTTCTATCCTTGGTGGGACCATCGAGTTCCTTTAGGATAGGGTCACATCTTGGGCGTGACAGCAACGTCGCTGCCATTCGTCATGAACCGACATGGATGCTGCTTCCGCTGTGTTGGCATGCTCCTCCTGGATCAAAAACGAGCATCAGCTCTGCCGAGGTCAGGCTTTATAAATTCTAATAAACTTTTCTCAATTAGACCGGCTTATTAGATTGTTTAACAGACATAGCATGGAGTATTGATGTACATCAGGTTTGTGGGCGACCAAGGTTTATATCTGCCGGATTTCTATAATCGCTTACCTGCAGACCTTGCGCTATATTTTACACTAGGCACGCAAGCTAGAAGTGGACAAGAATTTCTGCATGATCCTTGAATTCCTTGAGATCTCACTGACGTAGTCTCCATGATAATGAGGGAGAGAACATCGTTTAATTAATAGTAACAAGACATGATCATCAATTGTGAAAAATAGCAGGTGTAAGATATACTCCCTCCGTCCAAAAATACTTGTCATCAAAATGAACAAAAAGGGATGTATGTAGAACTAAAATACATCTAGATACATCCCCTTTTATTCATTTTGGTGACAAGTATTTCCAGATGGAGGGAGTATATGGACCACTTTGCTAGATCCAATAAATCTATTGATTACTCATGCTGCTTCTATTGGGTTGTTACGAAAACATGAAAAGTTCTTTAAAATGATTCTAAGTCGTATGACACCCAATAAATATATTGATTAGTCATGGTGCTTCAGTTGGGTTGTTGTCAACGTTGACATTGAAAATTCTACTATCGCGGTTCCTACCCAAGTCTACGTCAGATGATCAGATTACTAACTATTGTAGGTGATGCTCTTTCTTTACGGTTTTCACTTTTCATTAGGGCCTTATATAAGGTTGATTGATCGGCGTTATGCTTGCCCTGGTCCAAAGAAAGAGGGTGAGGAGAGAATGATGATCGATTGCTGCTACTGCACTGTATATCTTGTGAATTGGCAAGTAGTACAGAGTACAGACTGTATAATGTTTGCCTCGAAATAAAATATTGTACAACTGAAATAGTTTGTCATATATAAATTATGCTCTTTCGTGCTAAATTTTATTGCTGCTATTTGCAGATGAAGTGGATACTACCAGTGAGTTCCTGTATGATACTATGGGCATACGATCAAGAAGAATGTCTCGGTGTGGTAACGATAGTGCGGGCATTTTTGTTGCTTACCACTAATCGTTGGGCTTCTCTATTAGCAAGAAGTCAATTTGTCAGTGGAGACATAGCTGCAAGGATGCGGTATTTCAACTTTGAGATTATTTAAGCTTTTGGATTTCAGATTATAGTTGCCATCAGCAAACATGTATGCTCTTGTACTATTGTCTGTCAGTTATCTTTAATCTGTAGAACTTTGTAATTAAATTTGTTTGATATTCTTATTTGGACCATTGGATTTAGGGAGAACCCACTTTGATTACTTTTCACCATTGGATTTACGTCATATCGCCATAGGACCACACGAGAAGACCACCGCGGAGACTAGGTCTCGTCGCCCTCCTCTGACCCTCCTGCCTCAAGACCATCGCTTGTCTTATGCATCAATGTGTTAATATTTTTTTGTTTCCGATTACATGGAGTGGCAAAGATGAATTTACAATGAAGTTTCACATTTATTTATTTATTTATTTTATGCATATAATTAATAATGTTTTCAGTTTTATAAACCATTATAAGAATGGTCAAACTATAACCCATAATCGTATAAGAACCGGAACATACCTCTCTAATTGTGAATACATTTTGTTTCTTCTTCATTAATGCCAAAAGTCGCATATTAATAGTTCCCGGTCAGTATGCCATGTCAGTTATCATGTTGAAAATTGTTAACATTTTTGTTCGCACATTAATATGAACATTACCTACACAAAGGTTGTCCAAATTTCTGTACAGAATGGTATGTCCTTTCTCTCTCCCATTCCCTTTCTGCAGAACAGGTCTACTAGGTTTCACACCCTCTGAGGGAGTCCTGGATTAGGGGGTGTCCGGATGGCCGGACTATGACCTTTGGCCGGACTTCCGGACTATGAAGATACAAGATTGAAGACTCCGTCCCGTGTCCGGATGGGACTTTCCTTGGCGTGGAAGGCAAGCTTGGCCATACGTTATGAAGATCTCCTCCCATTGTAACCGACTCTGTGTAACCCTAGCCCTCAGGTGTCTATATAAACAGGCGAGTTTTAGTCCGTAGGACGAACAACAATCATACCATAGGCTAGCTTCTAGGGTTTAGCCTCTCTGATCTCGTGGTAGATCCACTCTTGTACTACCCATATCATCAATATTAATCAAGCAGGAGTAGGGTTTTACGTCCATCGAGAGGGCCCGAACCTGGGTAAAAACACCGTGCCCCTTGTCTCCTGTTACCATCCGCCTAGACGCACAGTTCGGGACCCCCTACCCGAGATCCGCCGGTTTTGACACCGACATTGGTGCTTTCATTGAGAGTTCCCCTGTGTCGTCACCTTTAGGCCCGATGGCTTCTTCGATCATCAACCACGACGCGGTCCGGGGTGAGACTTTTCTCCCCGGACAGATCTTCGTATTCGGCGGCTTCGCACTGCGGGCCAACTCGCTTGGCCATCTGGAGCAGATCGAAAGCTACGCCCCTGGCCATCAGGTTAGGTTTGGAAGCTTAAATTACACAGCCGACATCCGCGGGGACTTGATCTTCGATGGATTCGAGCCACGGCCGAGCATGCCACTCTGTCCCGATGGGCACGATCTAACTCTGCCGCAGGACAGCGCCCAGAGTGTCGCTCAGGTGTCCGCTCCGACCATTAGCTCGGAGCCTACTGCGCTAGTCGGGCATGGACGGTTGGACGCCACCCCGGGAGCCGCAATCTCTATGGCGATAGAGCCGAATACCAGCCTAGTCCTTTGCGGGGCCCGTGACTCCAAGGTGCCGGACTCCTTTCCAGACTCCGTATATTCCGCACCTCTTCCGATTGAACCCGATTGGGCTCCAATCATGGAGTTCACCGCCACGGACGTCTTACAGCACTCGCCCTTTGGCGATATCCTAAATTCACTAAAGTCTCTCTCTTTGTCAGGAGAGCCCTGGCAGGATTACGGTCAGCACGGTTGGGATGCGGACGACGAAGAAATTCGAAACCCACCCACCACCCACTTGGTAGCCACTGTCGACGATCTAACCGACATGCTCGACTCCAACTCCAAAGATATCGACAGTATGGACGCCGATAAAGGAGACAAACAAGAACCAGCACCTATAGGGCACTGGAAAGCCACCTCATCATACGATGTATACATGGTGGACACACCTAACAGAAATGACAACGAGGATCAAAAGGGCGCAACCAGGGATCGCTCCCTCGAAAAACAATCAAAGCGGCGGCGTAAGCGCAAAGCCAAGCCCCACCTCGACAAAGACCCAGCCATAGAGCAGGGTGAATCAACGGAAGATGAACATGCCATCGAGCAACCGTCCAAACAGGGCGGACAATCCGAACAACCCATCCCCGGGAAAGATAATAGTCCGGACGACCTCACGCCGGACAAATTGCTGGAACATCAGAACCTCCACCAAGGGCTCGTTGCCACTGCACGTAGCCTGAAAAAGCAGAAGCGGAGGCTCAAAACAGCGAAAGATGCACTCAGGATCAGATGGGGCAAAGTACTCAATACCACACACAAGTACGGCAACAGTCGTCACACAAAGAGCTATCCGAAGCGGAAACTACTACCGGAATTTGATGAAGAGGCCATAAAGCCCCCACAGTGAAAAATAAGGAATCCACAAGGTCGGATAGACGACCCCACGATCGATCTCACGCAACAAAGGGCGCCGCACTCAATACGACGCGCGACCCCTCCAAGAATTCGCATCAAAAAACTGGCCCACCCAGATCCATCTATGGGCCAAGAAAGCAAGCTCCAGTGAGCAACGCAATGCAAAAAATATCCGAACATCGCGGCACACCTAAATACAGGGGCGCCGCACATCCTCTATGTTTTACCGATGAGGTGCTGGATCATGAATTTCCAGCGGGATTCAAGCCCGTGAACATAGAAGCATACGACGGAACAACAGACCCTAGAGTCTGGATCGAGGATTATATCCTCCACATACACATGGCCAGAGGAGATGACCTCCACGCCATAAAATACTTACCCCTTAAGCTCAAAGGGCCAGCCTGGCATTGGCTTAAAAGCCTTCCCGAAAACACCATGGGAAGCTGGGAAGCGCTCGAGGATGCTTTCCGGGCAAATTTTCAAGGGACCTATGTCCGACCTCCGGATGCAGATGACTGAGCCATATAACTCAGCAGCCCGGAGAGTCAGCCCGGAAACTCTCAAACAGATTCCTTATTAAAAAGAATCAGATAGTCGACTGTCCGGACGCCGAGGACCTAGCAGCTTTCAAACATAGCATCCGAGACGAATGGCTCGCTAGACACCTCGGCCAAGAAAAGCCAAGAACAGTGGCCGTATTAACAAGCCTCATGACCCGCTTTTGTGCAGGAGAGGACAGCTGGTTGGCAAGAAGCAGCACCAGTGACCCGAATACATCCGAACCCAGAGATGGGAATGGGAAACCGCGCCGCAACAAAGAACCGCGCCGGATAAAGGACAACAGCCCGATGAGCACGGCAGTAAACGCCGGATTCAAAAGCACTCGGCAAAATTAGAAAAAGCCGCCCCCCAAAGATGACAGGGACGAGCTATCCAACCTCAACAAAATCTTGGACAAAGTATGTCAAATCCACAGCACTCCTGGGAGACCTGCAAACCATACCCACAGAGATTGTTGGGTCTTCAAGCAGTCCAGCAAACTCAACGCCGAACACAAAGGGCTCGACACACCAAGCGAGGATGACGACGCACCCCACAAGCAGAACACCAGAGAACAAAAGAAGTTCCCACAAGAAGTCAAGACAGTAAATTCACTTCAGATGACAAAAGGGAAAAACAGAACGGCGCTTACGAAGACACGCGCCGTACGGCCAGCCCCAGAGGGGCACCGCCACTGGTTATTACAACCAATCACCTTCGATCATCAGGATTACTCCAAAGGAGCCCGGAACGCAGGCTGGACTGCCTTGGTCATGAATCCGATTATTAACGGACTCCAATTTACAAAAGTCCTTATGGACGGCGGCAGTGACTTGAACCTGTTATATCAGGACACAATCCGCAAACTAGGGGTAAACCCAGCTATAATCCGCCATGGCAACACTTCCTTTCAAGGAGTCACACCGAGTCCAGATACCCAGAGTATGGGTTCCCTTTCGTTAGAAGTCATGTTCGGCTCACCCGACAACTTCCGAAGCGAAAAGCTAACATTCCACATCGCCCCATTCGTAGGTCGCTATCAAGCGCTACTGGGACGTGAAGCTTTCGCCCGCTTTAACGCAATACCACATTATGCATCCCTTACACTTAAAATGTCCGGCCCACGAGGCATCATTTCATTATAGGGGAATATAAATTGACCCCCAAAGTACAGGCAAAGGTGCGGCCGCCTAGACAGCCACCCACTAATCCAGCCCTACTATCCCGGACACGGCTCGACGAGTCCGGCGTAAACGTACATATGCTTAATAGCCACATAACCCTGTACAAGGGGCTCCACGTGTTCACGCCAGGAGATAATACGGCTCAATTCTTGCTCCAACTATGTTTTGTTTATCTTAATATAGATTTCTCGCACGCTTATTTTTTACTAAGCTCCTCTCTTTCGCAGACGAACATCGTGCTACGCCCGTCCAGGATACGGCACAACGGAGACACAGGCGCAGACGTGCAGCAGGGACCCGTTTCAAGGATTCTTTTCAGATTAAGACCCTGCGTAAACCTTTTTTACTGTCTCTTGTTGACAACATCCCCCGGTTTTCGCTATAACCGAGGAGGAGGCTGGCGTCTTGGAATGTGGCCACGCCAGAATTTTTGTGCGTACCTGGACACCAGGGGCTTTTTTTCCAAGGGATCTATTTCGGCCCGTCTTCATAAAGACCGAATACCTTAGGGAGTGTTCGGCGTCGCGAGTTTGGCCCTATATGCATCAGCTCCGAATCATGTCTTTGGTCAAATGTTGGGTTTGCCCGGCTCCTGTGTTTTGCTGCCTTACGTTCCGTTATATCGGCTAACGCGGCACCAGGAGAACTACTGCGATTGTGCCCCAGTTCGGCCAGGCGAGCACCTCGGTAGAGAAAGCCGAAAACTGACTGTCATGATATAGCGAGAGACTGGTCAACCACTCGATGACTTTCGGAATCTTTAGAATTCCTCCGCATTAACGAAGGGCCGCTTCCCGGTCAGGCACACTTGCTCCCCGAATTCGGGTGAGCGCAGTGCCCCTAGGGGCTATTCAGTAGCCCCACTGTCAAACTCCTATGGCTAAGTGAAAGTGATAAAGCGTTATTGTCCGGTTGCCTAGTTCGCCGCGCCACCACCTCCTTTATAGGACCAAGAAGTTGGATTAACTGTGAAAAAGCGCCTTTTTGCAAACACCCCCGCATTCCATGCGTGGGGGCTGAAGCCAACGACTGCCATCTTTCAGGTTATATACACATATATACATTAAACGGTTGCACAGGAGGCATCATAATTCTTGCAAGTACAAGTATAAAAAGCCTTTATATTCCATCAAAATATTCGTTTTACAATAGTACACGCTATTCGAACACAACATCCTTCGAGCACTGTGACTCTATTAAACGAGCGCCATGAAGAACTTCCTCAAAGTAGTGCTTGGCAAGTACTCGGCTTTCGTCCGAATCCTGGGACGCAACAACACTGGCCTTCATATCCGCCCAGTATGTTTTGACACGGGCAAGAGCCATCTGTGCGCCCTCTATGCACGCCGACCTCTTCATTGCATCAGCATGCGACACCGAACCAAGGAACTGCTGCACCAAGCCAAAATAACTCTTC